CAAAAGCAGTGGAATGCCAGAGTAGTATATGTTCTTTTTACTTCTTTTTACGTGCGTGGGCGTGATGCTTTGAGTGCGCCCGTTAGCAACGCCAGCTATGTCTAGTTATGCCTAGCACTTTGGACCACCACCCACGGTTGGCCGCCACTTCTTGAATTTTGTGCCGGGTATCACGCTGCCCACCTGTACCTTCGAAGAAATGGTCGTTAAAATGGTCCTTGCCGCGGCAGGCACTTGTCCACTTACGTCACCTATTCCCAGCTCCAAATGTGCCTCCAAGAATTTGCGGTTCCAAGAATAAATCGAAGGAGGTTATCCGGGCAGGGTGGCGAATCGGTCTGCGAAGTTTGTGACGAGGACCTGCCCCGCATGTCTCCAAACCTGCTTCAAATTCTGGAAACTGAATTCACAAACGATGTCTCACTTCGGGTCCAGGCTTTCCAGTGTGATCTATCAACCCCCCCCAAGTACACCAGAGATGAAACCTGCTGGACTGGAACGCCAGTTTGGAAGTGAATGGAGGCATCGGAGTTGCACAAAATCAGCTTGGCTTTGTCATGATTCAAATGTAAATTATGCTTTGCTGCCATTGTTTGCATAACAGCTGGGGCGTCACTGGCAAAGGGCGCCAGGGCAAGCATTCGGCTTCAACGGTTTGGCGGATGAAAAACAATGCACACATAGGGAACTCCAAGGTGGCGCACACAGAAAAGGCTCCGTCAAATTTAATCAAGCGCCTTGATTGCTCGCGCCAATATGGAATGACCAGAGTCAAGATTGCACAAGGCTGGCGGCTTGCAGCAGGAGCTGTGCCATCTACGAGGAATCGAAAGGAAGTCAAGCTGGGCGAACTCATAGGGTCCTAATGTTGGTTGGTGGGTGGCAAAATAGGTGGCTTGCTTACCTGGTTGTTGTTTGAACCAAGCGTTTGTGATGAGTGGGTCATGTCCACTTAAAACTCAAGGAACGGGAATCGGTTGTTGCCCTCCTGACCTATTATTGCATGATAATCATGATAACTATTCCCAAATGTGTAAGGGCCTAACACATGTGCTTCACCGCGTAAGCAATTTAATGCAATTTACCATGCAAACGCCAGTGAGAGTCGGCAACTACAAGCAAAGGGCCTTTGCGTTTTCAAGCTTGCTGTTCATTCAGTTGGTCAAAATATGCCCGGCGCTCTTCTTCGAGCCGGGCATTTTACGGAACATGAGTTGAGAACGTGTAACTCACCCGCCGCCATGAGCAAGGTTATGAAGTTATGATAGCAGCAAGACAACTAACTACTGACCGGCTTGGTACGAACTACAGCATTGCCAGCAATGGGCGACAAGACAAATCCAACGCCAGCATGTTCGGACTGGTCGCTACGAGTTGTACTGATTGTTAGGATTTGTTAGGAAAGTAAATTTGTCGACAACGTACTGGGTCGTTGTTTCGACTTGGAAACACAAAACTGCAATGTTGTGGTCACGCATGTGAATTGTTTGTGCATAGTCAGCTTGAGGAGTGAATGGGTATTGAGTATTGAATGAGGCTATTTTAAAGGAAAACTCGCAAGGTAGCTTGTGCGAGGCTCGGTTTCTTACCTCGGTTACAGTGTTCCTCATACAGGCGCGTTGGTGGACAAGCACACGCGTCTTTCGTGTGGATTGAGTGGTCTTCGCAGTTGTGCAGAGGGAGGTGCCCAATGCCCCTAGTCGATGCACTTTGCATATCTCTCGATGGTTGCACTTTCGTCTTAACAAAGCCGAAACCTTTCAATGGTTGTGGCCCGGCGTGGTACTCTCTGTTGCCGCTGGCCACTGGAGCAGTTGGGCAACTGCGTGCGGTGTATGAGGATTGCCTTGTAAGCAGCATGCGGCAAGTTCTGTCACCTTGGGCGGGGTGAACAAGGGCTCCACGGTGATGTGGTAGAAGTCTTGGGGCTTGTGGACATCAGCACGGCGGCTGGTTTGTTGTCCCCATTATTGGTAGGCTGCCGCAAACTCCGGGACATAGGTCGCGAGGTGGGTCTGGTGGCGCGGGCTGCCTGCATGCTCCAAATTCATTCAGTGTCGCGCCAGACAGCGTTCATTTCCCATGTTGGCTTGTAGCGGTAGTACATCTCCATCGACGGAATTCATTGCGAGCATCCTTGGTGTGGAAATCTTTATGGAAAATTTTGGGGCGCTCGTTTGGGTGCGGGTGTGGTGGTGCTCACATACACTGATAGACTTGCTCTTGAGGGTGTTGTGACGGGCCTGAAGACTCAACTGCATGGTTGCAGTCTTGAGAAGTGGCGCTGTCCGGCCCAGTTCTCAAGATGATGGCCTGTTTCGAGGCACCCAGCAACAGCTGTTGCTGCTTGCTCGCTTGGTCTTTGGGAATCTGTGGAATCTGTGGACCTTTGGTCCAACTTGCTCGCTGCGGTCACTGTCTCAAGCCCAGTTCTGGGTGATCGGTTCTGTTGTTGATCGGTTGGTCGGCTAGAATTGGCGGCCCTGGTGAGGCTGCCGGAATATATACCAGTGTCAGTTATAAAACCCCAGAACATATGCAACATAGAATGCCAGAATGTACGCCAGATAGAATGACAGCATAATTGAAAAAATACTAGAATATATGCCAGATAGAATGCCGCAATACACACCACATAGACTGCCAGAATATATGCCGGATAGAATGCCTGAATAGCACACTGCAAATCACTGCAATGTATGCCAGATAAACTGCCAATATCTATATATATATATTGTGCCAGACAGAATGCCTCAATGTATGCCAGTTTATTTGCAAGATAGACACTTTCTTGGCTCGTGCTGTTGAAACAATATAGCCGTTGGTCATCAGCAGATTGCAATGCTATGGTAGGGATCGCTCGAAGTAAAGAAATTCTTACATTGCAGGAGCCTTCTCTGAATCATTTGATATCTTGACACATGTTGAGAACGGTCAAATCAGAATGTTAGTTGATACCCTGGGCAAGGTTCAGATTGCTCAGCTGTCAGCCGATGCTGATGGTACTGAAGAATATGCAAGCCGCACATTAACCAGTTTTTGGTTTAGTGGATGAACAAGACACTGGTAGCCTTGATTGGAAGGACACGTTTGGTCATGTAGCAGGTACGAAACTTGCCAAAGAAAACCGGCCGATCCTTCCATCCATGCGTAACCATATATCATATATTGTACCTATTTGATTTCATGTTCAGATCCGAATCCATGAGTTGTTATGTTGTCAAATGCCCCAATCCATCGTTTGCTGAGCTGATGCATGCGTGTCACCAGGCTCAAGTGCTTTTCGCAGAGATTGGAGAGAAAGACCTCTCAGATTCTTTGGTGGTGTCCCTCGACCAAAAGTTGTGCTGCTGTGTGAGACTTTGCTGGGAGACTAGCACCGACATGCAGTTGGATTAGAGAGGGTGAGAGAGTTATATATAAATAATGCCTTTGTAAACTGCGTTCGGCACATACATGGCCCCTGGCTCTCCGCCAAATAAGGAATCGAAGATTTACAGTAATCCAATATCAGAGTTTTGTCGCCCTTTGTCCAGTTAATATTTTCTGTGACCTGTTTATCAAGCATGGTCAAGCTACCAGGCCAGCATCTTGGATATGAGACATAAATTGAAATGAATCTGAATATGTTGATTTGTCAGCTCTTTTTTCTTGAACATTGCATGTTTGAGGTCACCGACTGCCTGGGCGATGCTCACAAAGGAGACCAGTCTGATGAACTTGGAAGTCTTTGGCGGAGCATGCATTGCTATGGACATTCATGAACGCGATTTGATTCGTTGGGTATTGTGTTTAATGTTCTTCTTTGTGACCCGGCAAATGTGCTGTTAGTCAGGAGCCAACCTTTGATGGCTGAGCGAGTTGCTCGCTGTTACTGTAGTATCCTGTAGTGTTACATGGAACAACCGAATGCATGCTGGCTGTGGCATCGTGCACAGCTTGCGAAGTACTGAGCTGGACTTAAGAGATTCCTTCCAACTTTTATTTGCCGAGCCAGACCACGAGAAGGTTTACAAAGCTTTTGGAGACTGGAAGGTACTAAAGTTTGAATTCGCCTTTCTGTTGCTTTTGGCCCTCCGGCAGCCAGCAAGATTGGGAGGTCCGTTACGCCCCACAGCCCACGCCCCTACAATCTCAAGCTAGCAAACGCAAAGCGTGCAAGCATGAGACAGGGGTCCCTGCGTTGCCGACCTTGCATTCAATAAATAGCAGCAACAGCAACAACAACTTCAGTGAACCTACATTTCAAGTTGAATGTCTATCCCCATCATGAGGAAGTTGAGTGTGGGTTGGCAATTGCCAATCCTTTTTGGCATCCAGAGCAGTGTGCTTACATTGTCGTGCACTATACATCCAGTGTTTAAAGTTTAAAGCACGCGTGTTTGATGTCAAGCTCTCTCGGAGTTCCAAAGATGCTTCTTAACCATGAACTGTTTGATGCTTGGGGCCTTTGCAATTCTCAAGGATGTCACGTTGCAAATTCTCAGATTTGACAATGTGAAGCTGTTCTATTCTCCTGGTGATTTGGGGACCTGGGAGGCGAGGGGAGTGGGGAATCGTCGACATTTATCCAGCATCCTGCATTACTAGAGAGCGAACCGCTGCCCTCCGTGAACAAAGGTAGGACTGCGAAGCACGTTGCAGTGCCCCATGAAGAATGAGGAAATGAATGGACATGAGGAATCGCATTGAAGTAAACCGTGCAAAACCTTGCTCTGACTTGTTCCTATTTGATGCATTGCTTGCATTCTGCTGAGTCTGCTGCATTTTGGGGTCAGGAAGACTTCTTTGACGAGGTACTGTGCTTTGCAGGGTCTAAACTGTTGACTCCATTGGGCAGCAGAAACAGTGCAAACTTTAGACTCATTGTGATAGCAATATGAACCACAAGCAGCCTGGCCCTTTTTTGGCCGCCAAATAAGAGTTGTGGCGGATGCTGAATGCTGTTGACCTCCAACCGGTATGGTTTCTCATAGCTTCAACATGATGAGGCATTGACGGAAACTCAAAGTCCCAATTTGTAGTGTAGTCAGAGTCATACCATTCATCCCTCAAGCTCCTGCAATGGCGAGTGGCTCGGCGACATCATATGACAATTATATATATTATATATATATATATAAAGCGTCACCCGAACTTGAACTTGTGTGTTGCTTGAGGGTTTCTTGAGGTCCAGCCTTTTCCGGATGATCAATTTAGTTGGCCTTGTGTGGGGTCGGGAGGTATTGTGCAGCTCCATGATCGTGCATGGCTTTGAGACGAGGCTCCTGGACGCCTGCATGGAGCACAAAACATCAGAGATGGTACTGGGAGGAGCTGCAAGGGGATCGAGGAAAATATGAAAAATGAAAAGCAGGGAACTTTGACTGTCAAAATCATGCTGCTTTATATTACTCGTTCTTGTTGAAAGTTATTGTGCGAAAGTACCTTAGGCATTCCATGTCAGCAACTCGTCATGCAGAGGAAACACCACTACTTACTGGACTGAGTCATCGAAAGTTTTATACTTCAAGGTGAGATTTGATAAGACAAAAGGACAAACATGCCTCAGGACCGTGAGCGAGGAGTATCCACTTGGGCCCCGTCCTTGAACTGCCCGGCCAGCCTCGCCGAGCTGATTCGTCGGGACATGTCGGGACCACCCTGAATCCCTTCGGAAGAGAGGATTGAAAATTCCAACACCCAGAGCTTTCAAGTAGCTAAGTAAGAGGAGTAAGCTACTAGCCATGGCCTCCAACCTAACAATTAGCCATGGCCTCCAGAACCTTCCAACACCCAGAGCCATTGTTCTGGTGTTTGGAGTCCATAAGCCTATGCTAATGTGGGAGTGGACCGTGGACAATTCGCTCAAAAAGAAAATGCTCTTTATGAGCAGATTTTGCAGAACGTGAATGCATTGTTCTACTGCAAGGAAGAAGGGGAATGTGTGGTAGCAATTTGGACGGTTATCGTCAATTGTGTCATTAGTCATTTGGATGACATGGTTTATTTGAGAGCGAGTCTTCCAGTTGTGCAGGCCAACTTCCTTTCATCAGCCATCGGACTTATTCAGATCATCGGACTTATTCAGATTCAAAACATGTTGAACAGCTGGGCATAAATTTGCCTAGTATGCAATTGCAACATCGGAAGTCGACTAACATATCCAATAACAAGCGTTGTGCCTTTGACAATGCTGCTTTGAAATTGGCCCTGTTCAATGTGCGACGCCAGCATCACCACACGGCAATATGTGTGCCCACATATATTGAAATATGTGCTAGCAAGCATGACAGACAGCGTTGCAACAAACAAGAACCATGGAACCTCCTCCCGAACCGGCTCTGGAGCCTGCTAGTCTTAGGATGTCAGGGCGACCTGGGTCAATGTGCTAGCGCGACAACATGCACACAGCATATAGAATCTAGAACATGTTAGATCATGTTATATAGTGTGTCTACATGTCCCCATGAAGCGATTAATATATATATATATAGAGAGAGAGAGAGAGAACACGCTATCGTGACACCAGGTCAGCGTGGGCATGACAGCACCTCAGCATGTCAGCAAGACTACATGTTAGCACATCAGCAAAGACAGCACGTCAGCATGATAGCATACTTGCAAGTTAGCGTGACAGAGTACACGGTTCAATGTCGACGTGGCGGCGCATACTATGCAAGCATGGTACTTTGACAGAGTGACAAAATGTCAGCATGACCCCTTGCCAGCATGATGCCATTTCAGCGCTGCGGCATGACAATGTCAGCATAGCAGCATGTCAGCATATCTGCAGAATTGCTGCGAAACTTACATAGTCCTGAACTCCGGAACTTGCCTGGGAACTTGCACCAGACACTGGTTCGCAAGTCCCGGAACTTCCTCCAAAACCTCCTACGCCCTGGAACCTGCTCCAGAACCTGCTCCGAAGTCTTTACTATGGCTGAAGACCCTAAGCTTCGCTGCTGTCGACCTCTTGCTGTCAGCCGAGGAACGACCTGCAGACTGTCGAGAAGCTTTGCCCGCAGCACCACCACAAGAGGCCGTCCGCTTAGTTACGGGTCAGTTAGAACCTCTGGATTTGCAACGGCAGCACAGGAAATCACAGCTCGTAAACAGCGGCATTGGTACTAGACACCAAATATCGCCGGATGTATTTGGATTTTGGAGGAAGATGCAAGTTGCTCCGTTTGTTCTGCCAGACTTAAATGAGTGCTTTAAGTTTGTTTGGTTTGCTTGTTTGATCTTCACTGCATGTTCTGAGTTGTTTGGCCCCTTCTCTCCCGTTCTCTCACCAGTTCCATCCTGACAGTTGCCTGACATCTCTTCGAAACGTTTTGGCCTTCCAGAAGGTGAGGGGCGGTGGTTGGAGCCATGCGAAGAATCTAAGTTCATCAAGTGTGTGTGTGTGTGTGTGTCCACTCCTGTTTCCAAGGACACTACCCTAGCTCTTCCTAGCTCTTTTTAACTTTCTCTAGGACTTTTGAGACCAATGTACAGCAGCAGGGGGTGGTAGCAAGGCAGAGAGTCTACCACCAACGAAGACGCTCTCTAAGCCTTGGTGATACTGGGACTGATCATCCCAGCGTACCTGCACAATTCAATTTTTAATCTTCATTCATTCGATGTTTCAACAATTCTGTTCGACCGACCCAGCACTTTCTTTTCAGTCAAGGTCTAATCTGCAGTAACTTTAAAGGGCTAATGCACACCGCGAAGCAGCCTGAAATCGCGCTCCACGGAGCAACCTTCTCAAGTGTGTCTCCGCAGCTTCTTCCCACTGTGGTAAGCTGTGTGATCCCTACGGGGCGCCGTTACTGCAAGAACCTTTCCACTCCTCACCGCAGGGGTAAGCTTCCTGAAGATTTTCTGAATTTACTTTACTGAATCTCCTTGCTCGAAATCAGCTTGGATTGTCTCACCCAGCACACGTGAAGTTTACTGCAGAGTTCACTGAAGTCTCTTCTGAAATGTACTGCAGAGTCAAACTGTAACTGTTTCACCCGGGAATCCTTTCCTTTCCATTTCAATTTTTCAATTTTTCAAGTTCAATTCAATTTAATTTCAAGAGTCTAATTGAAGTCAATTGCACACTCCTCCAGTTTGCAGCGACCTACTATACAGTTTACAGTTTCACACCTCTATTTATTTATATATATCGACTTTCTTCGACCTGCCGAGCAGCCATGACGTATCCCTGGCCGTATTCACTACCACCACATCTACAGCAGCAACCACAGCCCACACAACCACACTGGTTTCCTTACCCATCACAAGCTCCACCGCAACCATACCCAACACCGCCACCAGTTCCACCACATCATCCAATTCCACATGGCTTTCCATTTCCCACACCACCTCCACCTCATGCCCATTACATGCAGCCACATCCAGTACAAGCACATTTTCCAGCACAACCTACCGCTCCTCATGACGGTACCCAACATCCGCAACAGCAACCACTTCAAGCGACACAGCCAATACAATCCCATGTCCACACACACCCCACACAGCCACCTCAACCTCAACCACACCAACCACATCAATCACATCCACTACATACGACAAGCCAATCAACACCCACACCATTACTACGACCACCACATTCTTCACTCGATCTACCACATGCCACCAATCCAGCAGTGACCGCTACACCACAACCTGCCACACCGGCTCCACCGGCTCCACCACCACCACCACCACCACCACACACTCCAGCAGCTCCCACTGAACCTGTTTCAGCGTCCATCACTACATCAGCTCAACCCCAGCCACCGCCCAACGTACCACGCACGACCAAACCGACACCATCTATAGCACCCACCCTCAGCACCACAAGAGGTATTTGGCGCGACCCAGATCGCTCACCACCTCGCACACCAGAACACCACCGCTACAGAGCTTTTCCTGCTGTCCCCTCCATTGCACCATCACAGGCTACATCCAGATCCAGGAGCCGCACTCGTTCAATACGTACTACACGCTCTCCATTGCCACGAAGACGAAGCTCAGCTACACAATCAAAGACCAGCTCGCAACCACACTCCACACCTGCTGGCAGACACGCATCACCATCACACACACAAGACAAAGCTCACACTTCCACCCAAGACATCACAGCTGCCACCACTACAAAACGCAGTTTGGACTCACCTCACCACACTTCAAGCATCACACTCAAACCCAACCCACTTTTTACACCCAAACATACCACCAAACAGTCACTCACTCCGCCGCCAATTGCATCACCAACTGTTCCTGTTCAACGTCGTCCCCACAACCTGCCTCCTCCCAAATTCCAACCACCCACTGATCCAGCACAATTGGATGTCTTCCAATGGATCAACCACTACGCACAATCACTTGACGTCAAAAATGAACCCATGATTTCTTACGTGGCCAAAGTGCTTAGCGCAGCCCATCTCAACAGCACTCACTTTACGGACCTGCAACTTCTCACACACACAAAATTGAGCGACGACACCAACAAAGAAGAACATCATTCCTTCCTATTACTCACCATCCCCACACTCGCGAGCAGGGGCGACGCCCCAATCCTCCCTCCTACACGGCGAGAGGCTTTGAACATACCACCGATAAAAACATATTTTTGCGGCACATGTCAGCGAGGAGGGCAACATTATTTCCATACTCGAGGCGGGTGAAATCGTGAGATCCGTTCTACATGATGACCACAACGTGGGTTATTTTTGCCAAGCGTTCGAACTATCGAACTATGAGCCACATGATGTTGCTGAAGCTGCACGAGTGTTATTCAATGCTTCAAACATGGCCAAGAACCGCAGCGGCCTCATCCTGACGATCAAAGCCTATGGGCACGGCCAGAAAGTAACTCATGGAGGTGAATCCGCCGCGAATGACCTGCTGCTTAGAGGTGAAGGGATCGTAAAATACACCCCAGGAAAATGCTGGGTAGCACATCCCAAGCACTCAAGAATAGAAGGGATTGCCTGGAAAAGCGACGCAAGGCCACCGCTCAGTTTCATTTAATTCAACCTATCCAGCCCAAGAGGTTCTTTTTCACCCCATATCTCGGATGACGACAAGGCCTCAAAATTTTCCACGCTGCTTGCACTTGATTTTATTTCATTCTCTTCATTGAGGACATGGCTTTCTGCGGACAACATGACATTAAAATCAACACGACTGCTGTCATGCCAGTTTTCTCAGATATTTCAACTTTTCCGCTTGCACCGCAGCCATTTTGTATTATTCAAATTATTGAGCACGACTTTGTACACCGCACAAGCCATATTGATCCGAGTACCACGACGATGGCATCTCCCTTGGACACAGCATTTACACACCGACTTCTTTTAGCTCACCTTCAAGCAGCCACATCCATTGCCACTACGTTCCAAAACCTTCCACTTTTTACACCACAACCACCACTGCCTGCACACCAACCTACTACTACTCCAACCTCTTCTAAACGATCAGCAGACGCACTCCACCACCGCCGCCACCAACTCATCTCTCAAGCAGTCGCAGTCCACCCCACACCACTGGCAAATCTCCCTTGAGATGCAAACCAGAACCTTCACCCTCGCACACACCCACTTCACCTCATCAGCACTCACCGAAACACCACAAAGACAAAGCGACTCACCCGCGACTTGAACACAAGAACAATACGAATTTCCAACAACAGCTCACACCACCGATCACAACGATCTCTCTCAACAGCTCGCCAGCCTCGCCCCCACGACCATTACCATTTCCACCACTTCCCACACCAGCACCTCCCACTTCACCTGTACAACCACCAAAACCACCACAAATTCTCACGGACCCTCCTCCATATCCCGACAATGGAGGATGGGAACCCAGCGAAGAGAAAAAACTGGCGGCCTTCAAACTTAACAAGCGAGCTCGCCCCAGTTGGAAATACATTCCCAAAGCACTCAACAAAACACCTTTTGATTGCAAAGGTCGATGGCAAGTCTTGCAAATTCTCTACACACCTCAACAGCCAGAGAGCCCACAAGCAGAAGCAGAAGCAGTATCACCTCATAAAACATCTCACCAAGCTGAGGCAACGCCTCCAGCCACATGGGACGCCAGTACGATGACTACAGAAACCCCAGCTCCAACAGACCAAGAGACATAGTTCAACAGCACATGATCGACAGCAGTTCACTTTGTCACACAGTCCGCCTACAAACCTATTATTCCCCAGGACTACTTTGTGCTGAAGAACATCCAGAATTATTGATGGCTTTGTATTTATTTCCAATTCGCACTTATTTACATATTTGTCCTGTGCCTTTTGTCGTTTCAGCAGTTGGGAGCAATAGACTCCAACCCATGAACACTGCCATAACTCTCTTCCACACGTGCTGTAAAAAACAAGATCGTTTGCCAGTGGAGCCCATTATGTTCAAACATGTCTTTCTTACTTCGATTGATGTCAAAAACATCCGACCATTGCCACCCGTCGTTTCCATGTACAGATCGGTCAGCTTTTGCACCCAATTCGCTCTTCTCCAATGCAGTTGCGAGATTCATTCCATTTATTGACTTTGATTGCTGTTATTGTTGGCCTTGATGATTTTTTTCTGATCTTGGTTATACCTTGATGTTATTGCAGCTCGGCCATTCAACTTAGCTCAGCTTTCCGTTCGTGTACAGACCCCGCGATGGATTCCCTTGTTGCCCTGGACGCTCAGGTTATTTCACAGCTGCGAGACACAAACATCCAGATCAACCGCCTGATGGTACTTCAACTCAACCGACTCCATGATACAATCAAACAATTACAATTAGCACAATCCGACATCAGCAACCAGGACCCACGCCTACCAGGTCGAATCCAACAGCTCCAAACTCTGCTACCTACGATGAAAACAACCTTGGAACACCAGCAGACTTTCTACCACCAATGTCTCAGATTACAACACATACCAACCACTCTTCATCACCAAGTCCTACGATTGGCCACCACCTTGGACAAGACTCACACGACATCCACACCCACCTTCGAACGATCGAACACGCCTCTCTCACCCAGACAAACCAAGACAGAGCCGACATCACACACTTCCAGTCGCCCGGCTATTCATCTACAAGAACGACCACACCACCACACGTCATAAGCTATCAGAGCAACCGCTTCTAGCATGGCAGCAACATACTTCCTCAGCAGCATCACACTCTCACACCACCAAACATACCCAACACCACACCCAACGATCCAGATCTCACACACGACAACCACGAAAAAAGCCACAAGCCACTGCCACACGGAGCCACCGTGAACGCAATCCCTCACCTCACACTAACAGACACACCAGCCCTCAATCTCATAGCACACATTCTCCACACCAGCATC